TTTCGATGAGAAAATAATTCGTACTAAATTGCAGATCGATCGAACATCTTGTAATAAATTTTACTCCAAAAAAAGAAAAACCGTTACGGGGTAAATAAACGGAATAAGAGCAGCCTGAGGGCGCGAAGAAAGTAGCTTATAAAACTGGAAATAATTTGCGAATTAATTTTTATTCAAAGAATATACGATAAACTTAATTAACGCTTCCACCATGGAACTAAAAAAATTCTCAAGTCGAGGTCAAATTTGACGGAATTGCAAAAGTAAGTACTGTGCCGAATGTTCAATTATATAGTCTGCGCCAAAAATCAACATTTTACGAGTTCGGTCCGACAGCGTAAGAATATTATTTCGTTTTCATATTATTTTTATCTTAGCCGTCTTAATGTTCAAAAAAAAAAAATGAAACTGACGTATCCGTTGATATTTATGATAAACGTAGTTATGAAACACGTGTCAAATACGTCGTGAAATTTGATTAACGATTAGTTAGGCCGAGTTTAATTTTAGACTACATTTTATTTAGCAACTACATATTAGTACCACGAAAAATTTCCGTACAGAGTTATGCACGTTTTTACGCGCGTACATATAATGAGCTCAATTAGCAGTAAATTTTGTAACTCGTTTCACACTGTAATGCAAATTCTTTTTTTTTTCTGCATTTTACGGTTTCATATTTTAATAGCCTCGAGTTGTCAGCGGACCATCATCCAGGGGATAATTAATATCCTCAATTGCTTTCATGGCTTCTATTCAATTTGACTCGAGGGGTATACTGGCCAGCATGAGGTCGTTTAAACGTATTCTTCCGGAACCTAGCGGAAAACTACTCGCCACACTTTAAATGTGCTCATATGTATAATACTTTACGCGTTATTCAGCGAATGTGAATTTTAGAACCAAGGTTATATAACATAAATTTACTGGTAACACGTGAATTACATAACATCAACGATTTCGAACCCACATTTATTTACTAACGTTAATGTCGCGTACCCTAACACCATTGATAGGTGAAACGAAACATCTATAGAGAAGAAATCGAAGCAAAATTGAACTGTTAATGCAGGTTTTGCAAATGAAAACCCTTTTAATGTTAAACAAGTGTATTTTACATTAATTTCATATCATTTTATGTTTAAATATTACATACACGCAATAACAATTTGTATTTTGGAGAAACTTTAAACGTTAATAACTTCTTAAGGAAGCCTGCATAAACAAATTGGTATTCTTAATTTCCGTCTTAGTTTGGCCTCCAGAATCTCCTTTGGTTAAAATTTTGAAAGGTATCTTCCGACACGAAGCCATAGAATCAATATTAATCGATTTATTTTAAAGTTTCGATATATTTTAACCATAATTGCGAGGATGGAATACTTGCTGTAAAATTATATTTCACTTTGAATGCCAAAATTACGGTTCTTCGACAAAAGACGTTGGCTGTTAGGTAATAGATAGTCCTCTCCTATCATTTGCGACATTTAAAACAAACGACGTTAGTAATTATATTTGTTAAATACTTTGTCATCTTTCGAGGATCGTTGGCTAAATAAATTGCATGAAACTCGTTCTGTACAGTTGAAATAATCTCACGGCAATTATAAGCAACTTCCACCCGCGGTTATGAGTTTAACCGGTTTCAAGACTCGATTAAACGTATCAATTAACTATATATGTAACATTTGAGCGACCAAACACCTTACCGGCGAAGGTCACTTTGTGGTAATATTCACGTAATGCGTTAATATTTTTGTTTAGTAGCGACATATGTAATTAGATTTGCTTATACTTGTTATTTTACTTAACATTGACGTTACTTGACATACACGTACAGTAGATACAGTCGTTACGAGTTTACTTTGTATGCATTTGTCACGATGCTTTGGAAGAATGTGTATAAAGTGTTACACCTGAATCACGGTTATTAAAAACTGGAATCGATATGGACACACGTATAAGCGGAGGAGCAGAGATTATCGAACTCCTGAAATAAATAAGACACGAAGACGAATACATATTTGGCGGCAAGGAGATAAGACCTAGAAACCGAAATGTATTTCGAGCGACAATGTTCTTCTAAAGTACAAATAATCGATTAAACGCGGCAACAAACAGAGGGAAATACTTGTTCGAATTTGACCTACAAAGATATCAATATTCACCCGACCCTTATTTTACACGATGAAAACCCATAAATACGAGTCGTTACGCGAGAATATTCCCTCAAATGTTACCTTATTGGTAATGTTACCTTATTCCTTTTTACGCATTTAAATTTAGACACGCCTGCACATTTTAATAACAGCTTTAGTGGAACTAATTCTCACGGACGAGACAAAACGCGAGTTGCGTGTACACGTGGACGCTCGTGAATAACGTAATTGCAGAAGTGCGTCCGTGTTTAATTGGATAGTGGGATCCGTGTCTAAAAGGATATCTTTGTGGACGTTTTTTTTTTTTTAGGACATAATTGTGTACCGGAAAGTGGCATTTATCCTCTTTGTTTGAAAATCTTGTCGGGCGGGTTTCGATATGCCCTTCTGGATTTTCACAAGACAGGTTTAATGTCGTTCAACGTGTGTTTGCGTTCCCATAAATCGAGGCAAGAACGTAACACCATAGACGAGGTATATGACTCACCTCTTCGCTAAATATCAGTAAATTTCTAAGCGTTATATTTTGAACGCTAATAAAAATTGGGTGAATACATCAGAGCTTCATGAATTCGTCTTGAAAAGCACTATAATCCAAAAAAAAATATACATATAGTTCCGTTTAAAAAACGAAACTTCACCATCATATCTTTTAAACTAATAACATAAATAAACTTTTAAACTAATAACATAAAGACTGTCACACTTTAGCGTGGACACCCTGTACACGGTATACGTCGTATACCTCGTCTGTGGTAATTCTATCGGATACGTCGGTAAGTACGCTTTCTACATGGTACATAGTTCGTGCGCACGCAACTGTCTGCGGATTGCCGTCATTCAGGCGAATCTTAAATTGTTAACAACTTTAAGACGTACCTTCTACTTCGTAATTTTACGATAACAATTCGTTGTCGGTGAAAATACACATTTTCAAATAAAATAATAAAAAGCCAATTTCATTACATTCGAATTATTCGAAGGTAATGGAACATTTGTATTGGATCTTGATCGGTTTTGGAACGTGTAGTAATTTGCAATTAGAACTTTAGCGTTCGTACAGTATGTTATTAGGAGACGTTCGAAGTATGCAGTATTTCAAAACATATTGGGATAAATGTTACAAATATTGAAACTAAGATTATCATAATCGCTTTGCATTGGTGTTTTTCGATAACAAGAAAAGCATCTAGGCATGATTATTGAAACTGATAAGACACGGCGGATAAGATAATAGAACACTCACAAAATGGTGAAAATGTCACGGAGGGGAATACTCGAGTCAAGCAGGATGCGTCCATAATGAAATGTTGCCCAGCAATCAAACAATCATCGAGCCGTTCCATTACAAATGATCAGACCATTTAACGTTAACTGTAGAAGAAAAACAACGAGCTTCGGGAGAACGTTACGAGAATTACAAAGTTTCAATTCCAGTATATTTTGAATAGAAAAAATCGACGAGAGGAAACGTGTAACGTCAGAAATGTAATTAAAAGAGTTCGTCCGAGTTATGATAAAAAAAGCATGGGAAATAGAAAAATCTCGAGTGTGTACCGAGTAAAGCCTATTAAAATACACGTGGGATGATTCAACGAGCGATCTGCATGCAGCGAATACCGATGATGAGCGGCGATTACATAAGTGAAAATGGAAAACTCGCTCGCGTCTCGGAACTATACAGTTTCCCTGACATGGAAACAAATACAGATCTACCACAAGCCAGAAGAAACCTTTCATTTATTTCTGTCGTTTCGTTTCTACATTTTTCCATTAAATGGAATTTTTCAATAATTTTGTTAGGGAACGTCCACCGATCAGATTTTTCTTATCCTAACGCAGAAAACTACCAAGCAAAGTTCCTGGTCTAATCATTAATGCACATTCCAGAGAACAATAAAGTTCTCACTGTTTAAAATTGGCTCAGAATCGGTTGATACATAGTTCCGTAATTTAAGAATGATGCCATTGCGATCAACATACCGTTATCGCTAACTGTTTACTGGTTTTCGGTGCATGTGTTTAGAAATTTTCTTTCTACTTCTACCAGAAAACCATTCGCTAGTCTTTTTCTTTTCATTTTGTTCCTATAGTTGGATTTCTGTCAAAGATGCGATGTTATTATTAGTCTTAAACATTATTGGAAGCATTTAAAAGGCGATATTCGAACAACCTATCGGTTATAGACCTTAAAAGCATCGTGCGAACCGCGATGCTCGTGGGCGTCTGGCATGTATACATATAGTATGATTCCAGTGCACGCGAAAACCACGTGCGTGCCGCATGGTGCCCGATGCGAGTTACGTGATATGTGGGCGCACCTATCTTTCCGACCCACCAAGAATAAATCGAGAAAGACTTGTGTGTTCCCGGTGACGCTGCGCACGAATCAATCGCCATCAAGAGTCGTGCGAGTACACGTTTTCGCCGATGATGGCGCCACCGTCCAATCGAATTAAAATCGCATTTCCCATGCATTCGAAAACGAACGCGATTTGAATTTCCAAACATTTCCAAACAATTTGCCTCCGTTCGAATAGCAGTTCAAGACGATTTGCACTGTTGGAAATAATCCACAACGCTGGAAATAAAAAAAATAAATAAATAAAAGAAAATCTGTTTTGCATGAAAAACATAGTGCAATTTTCTGGATTTGATAGTAACTGGATTAGTCGTTTGTTTACATACATACTGAAAGTTAATCAAGATTACATAAAAGATAAGAATTTTTCATAAAAACTGTGCAAAAGTTTTTGTTTAAATATAATATTTTGTTCCAAGTTAATTATTTATTAATAGAATCTATTAATTCTTTACACTTGTTACTCCATTGTGTTGCAGCATCACAATGTCACGTTCAATACTGGACGAGTCTCCGAACGCGGCCTTAGACAAAACCCTGCTGAACAGATATCTCGATCTGCCTCAACCGGAAGATAAAATTCAAGCAAAGTACATTTGGATCGACGGTACCGGCGAAGCGTTGCGAAGCAAAACCAGAACGGTGGATTTCGTGCCGAAACACCCGTCAGGTTGGTAACCGATTTATAACACCACGCTGTTGAATTTCAAAACGTATACAAATTACTATTTATGCAAGGGGATAGAATAGAATTTTGTAGATAGACTTCAACGGACCTTGAACGTCAAATTTCAGCTTCGAGTGTTTTCAATCGCGTAGCAACTGCTGGTATTATCTAATCGCGCTTCACATTATTTCACGATAGAAGCTAAACGGTGGCTACTTAACATTCTTCCTACGCGATATCTATTTTGTTTTGTCTGAAACATTTGTTCTGTTTCCTTTCTGTGAATCAACCTTGACACATACATGCAATTCAACCGGCAACCACGATACACGATGAATATTAATCCCATTTAAAGTAGTCTACCGTGCATGTACCTTATGAGCAAGTACGTTTAGATCTGTTCGACTGCAATTACCTATTCTAACGAAGATTGTGCATCAAATGTATTCTACGGCGAAAGAAGGATCAATTATCTTATTCGATAGAAGGTTTTGTCGAGCATAAGTTCAGGTCGGTCTCGAAGAATCTTTTTCTTTGCAAAACGATTTTGATCTGATTGTAAACAAAGTACTTTTCCTCGGATTCGATTATAGATCGTGCGCGTAAGATCACGAATAGATCTTTTCCAGATCTATTTCAGTTTCTCGCCAAGCAGTATGTGCATTATCAGGATCGAAGCATTGGACTAGGCGCGTGTCGTCTGCATTGTATGTATGTACAACTGAGTGTCCAAGAATAGATCCTTGAGGCACACCATGCGCAATTTGTCGTATAGACGATTGGACACTGTCGTTAACATCGCTTGTTGAACACGTTTTGTGAGATGGAATCGTATCCGAGAAGCAGCCGATCCAGTTATATCTAAATTATGTAACTTACAATTAGCACAGAGTTATTTGCGATCCAAGGTATGAAATGCTTTCAAGCAATGAAGAGCAACGATATAATAGAATGGGTGAGAGTCGATGCATCGAAGGATAATACATATGCGTATGAGTCATCCACGACGAACGCTTCATTGGAATTACTAAACATTAATAGCCAACAGGTTAAAGAAACTACACTCTTCCAAGAATTTTTAATGGGAAAACGCGACTTTGTTATAGGATGAACTATGGAATGTTTCCATAGAGCATAAAATGTGGTATAATTATTTAACTTACTACAAGACAAAAAGAAATTATAGAGCAAAAAGGTATATACATTACGTGGCTTGATAAATCACAAGAACTTTTAAAGAAAAAGTTATTCGTCTCAATTTTGTTCAATTATATACGCTCGCCTCCTCTCGCATACATTGGCTCGTGTAGTAGATGTGTTTGCTTCCCCCACTGTTCCGCTAGAGGCTCTGTCGTCGCTTTTCTCGTTCCCTATAGTATCGAGTCGATACTCTCATCAATTCTGTGCAATCAGGTCACAGATTACGACTCGTAAGTCACGAGATCTTGAGAACGAGTAGAAACAATCAGAAATTAGTGGTAAAGATTATTATAGTTAGCAGATGAACGATTAATGAACTCCTATTATAGAGAAATGGAAGTAGCGGGACGAACAGTTGTTATGTGTTATGTTGTATTGTTAGGATTAGGTTAGAAATTAGGATGGTGTGTTTATAATTAAAATGGACTCGGATTGTACGGTATAGTGGATATTTTGAAATGTTGCCGTATGTATTAAAGATAAGAAAAAACTAATAATAATATCGTTGGTTTAATTTAGTAAAAAAAAACCACTGGTTTGCTTTCAGAGTTACCGATTTGGACATACGATGGTAGCTCGACGTATCAGGCGGATGGAGCGAATAGTGATATTTACCTTTGCCCGGTAGCGATCTACAACGATCCATTTCGCCGTGGTAATAACAAGCTGGTGCTCTGTGACACTTACCACAGCGACAAGACACCGACGGCGTCGAATAAACGTTTCACAGCGAATAAGGCAATGGAAATGGTCAAGGATCAAGACCCTTGGTTTGGAATCGAACAGGAGTATACTTTCCTGGATGTCGACAATAGGCCGCTCGGTTGGCCGAAACACGGGTACCCGGGACCTCAGGGACCGTATTATTGTGGCGTCGGTGCCGACAAAGTGATCGGTCGTGAAATCGTCGAAGCCCACTACCGAGCTTGTCTTTACGCAGGCGTGAAAATCGCTGGTACGAACGCTGAGGTAATGCCGTCGCAGTGGGAGTTCCAAGTCGGTCCTTGTAGCGGTATCTCCGCTGGTGACGATCTATGGATCGCCAGATTTATCCTTCATCGCGTGGCCGAGGAGTACGGCGTGGTCGTTACTTTGGATCCAAAGCCTGTGGAGGGTTCGTGGAACGGTGCCGGCGCCCATACGAATTTCTCGACGAAAGCAATGCGCGCCGAGAACGGTATCGCCGCGATCGAGAAAGCTATCGATAAATTGAGCAAACAACACCTCAGGCACATTCAGGCGTACGATCCGCGCGGTGGGAAGGACAACGAGCGTCGTTTGACAGGGAAATGCGAAACCAGTAGTATACATGATTTCAGCGCCGGTGTAGCCAATCGTAACGTTAGCATTCGTATCCCACGTGGTGTTGCCGAGGAGAAAAAGGGCTATTTGGAGGACAGGAGACCCAGCAGCAATTGCGATCCTTACTCTGTCTGCGATGCCCTCGTGCGTACCTGTATTCTGAACGAGTAAAATGATCCATCTCGACGATGGTACTGTGCATAAAGGGAGGATTCGGACGACGAATTTGTACTGCAATAGTGATTGCACCTTTATCGAGAACGCGTTCTATGCGAGTTAAAGGCCTGCTAGTTAAAATTGATATTTAGTACGAGAAAAAAAGACGTACCTTGAATGTGGAGAGAGGGGATCGTTCAGAAACAGTTTGCATTAGAAACTATACTATGTCGAAAGCAAAGTAAATAAAATCGTTTTGGACCATTCGTCTATGCTGGTTTAAAATCGGTATTAGAGTCTCGTATATAAGTACCTAGAAATAAAGAGAAGAGGAAATGTAAAGACGAAAGAGTCACTCGACGTGAATAATTTTTTATTGTCCAAATACATGTTACAAAATTGTCGCAAATCAAGCATCCTATAATTCGTATTTTATGCTTTCAAAAAGTACTCTAAGGTCGTTAAGTATCTATATAGCTCAATATCTAGCAAAGGTTGATTTTAGGGTGTTCCTGTGCACGTAGCATTAAAGCTTATTATTACGTCTACCTATTTAATTTGATAATCTTGTAGCAACAGCGACAATAAAGATAAACGTATCGTTTAACATTATTCCGTAGACATTGCAAAACTGACATTATTCATTAACTTTAAATCATTTTGGTGTTCACGTTCAGGTAAATTAAAGGTGTAGCTGCAGCAACATAAAAGCATGACTTTGTATGCTGTTTACAAATTTCTTTCATCAAAGAACTATAATGGTTACAGTAAAGTCAAAGGAAACTTGTAGTCCGTGCGTTTTTCAATCCTAGAAAGCGATTCTGACGTCGCTTAATTTGATTGTATTAGAATATTACGCGATATAGTGAAACGAAAGAAAAGTTGATGTAGCATGTACATGGTGTATTTTCATATTTATATGGTATATTTTCATATCTGTATTTTCTATGCTGGCTCCTTTAATGTAATTGTATACCATGACCATTGTTAACAGTTTTGTTGATAGTGGTTATCGTTGTTGTTATAGTAATAGAAGGCGACGTTTTGGATAATGAATTACTATTCTCCTATTAGCGTGGAACATTCATTTTGTTACATTATAAAATAAAGAATTCTATGAACATTGTTTTCCTAAAAACTTCACACCCACTTATTTTATTCATTCAATTGTGAGTTTTAAACTGTACAAAGTATTTATATAATCGTATAAATACGAAACAAAAGCAACAAATTCCCAAATTTTTGTTTTGTCGAAACTATCGAAAGTATTAGGGAAAAAGTGTTTGAAAAATAAATACTTTGCAAGATATTTCAATATCTAACTAAAATAACGACCCATATAATGCATATGAAACATAAGCTCAAAGTATACAAAGTTTTGATCATCTCGATAATTATTGTACATTTTGTTTAATCTGCATACATTTATCCTCTAGAAATTGCTCTTTTCTTTAAACTCAAATATTCTTTCAAACTAAACCTGGCACTTTTTTAACAACTAACTTATACCACATATATCCAGTAGCTGCAGAGAGGGAATACCATGTGATGATATAACTCAAATGTTCGTTTCTTATATTCACTTTCGTCTGACTACCAATTGGAAACTTGGGGAAATCTTTATTGGAAATCATTTCTAAGTATATAGGAGCTGTCCCTGCTTTTTTGGCCATTTCATTTACGTCTCTGCAAAATAAAATTATTTTCGATTACGCAAACTTGTTTAAATCAAACAATAATATTTATTATTTAGAAACTCCAATAACATTCCCTGTACCTGTAATACCACATGTCGTCTTTTGTAGTATGCTTAGGAACAAATGGTGGTCTTTTTTCATTCAATCTTAAGATTCCGGTTATTTCAACTTCTCCTTCTATTTGACCTTCTTGCCTTTTTACTGGACTTTTATGTGTTCTTGGAATCCATCCACGATTTATTAAGATCGTACAACTGTAAAATATTTTACGAGTTTTTTGTATATTTTTATTTTAAAACTATTTTATTTAGCGACAAATGGTACTTACTCTTGATCTAATAATTTGAAGGGTGTAATAACGCAATATCCCTTCTGGGTTTCTCCGCTTCCAAAGAAAGATCCACTGCTGTTTGCATCACCATCCACTATCAAACTTCTAGGTCCTATAACAAATTCTTTCTCGTACACAAATGTTCCTTTTACTTTAATCGGATAATATTCTTTCGACTCCAGTTCTTCTAAACTAAATAAAATTATTAAAATTTATTCTGTTGCATGATATTGTAGTAGTGACATTTTTATATATTTCAATAATCTTACTTATTAGGTAGCTCAATAGGCTTGTGATTAATACGTTTGCTTAAAGTTTCTAGTAAATTCAACTTCCATTTACGTCTTTGAACTTGCCAAGTACCGAGTAAAAATGTGACAATTGGTACACTCTAAATTAACAATGAGCATTAAAATAGTTAATTAATTTTCCAAGACAAAATGAAGAAGTGTAACAAATGTATATTTCATCAACAACTAAGTGTATAATTAATGATTTGCAACATACAAATTAGAATTTAAGTTTATTACTTGCCAGCAAGCAATATCCATAAACTCCAATTTTCTCTTTCTTTGTAGAAAATCCTTCGTTTCGGTTCGGTACATAAAGGTTAGGCTTAGATAATTTTGTTTTATATCTTTTTTGAATATTTATAATATTACATGGCTGAGTAGGACGTGCATTAATTATAAACTGAAAATGATTAACGTTAAATTGTTTCCTTAATCTTATAAAAATGTTCCCAGCTGTAAAACTCATTTTATACCGCTTCTACACTACAGCGGAGATTTAAAATTACGCTTTGTGGTACCGGTACCAATCCTAACTTTTTGCTCGCTTTACTTATTCATACTAAATTAGTATTACTAATAGTAATACAAGAGTGTGTGATAACGTAGTTTAAGACCTGTTTTCACGTGGCAGTAAAAGTTCATAACAGTAATTAGCCTTTGTAGCTCTTTTTAAAACTTAGGAAATATCGTGTACTCCGATTATTTTAAAACATCCCTATCGTTCTCATTGATAAAATAAGATAACTACCATCTGCTTTTAATCATTGCATTTTCAACATAGCATTAAGGTGGTATCAATTTTTTTGAGAATTTAAATAGATTTTAGTACTAAAATGTTACTAGAGAATCAAACTCATTATGTTTTCCTATCATAACTGTCACAATAATTAACATTGTCATTAATAATCTGACAGTTCTGATTTTCCGGCAACAAACACTTAGTTAAACAATAAAATATTTATACTCTTTCTATATTACTATAAACAGTATTTTTCACTAAATTCAATTTAAAGTAGGAACAAGTTATTTCTAATTGTTGGTGTTGCTGGTATTTCATCCGGTTATAAGCTTTACTGGCCTTTTGGTTCCGGTCAACCATGGTAAGTGAAATGTAGTTTGTATGTTATCGATATTTCGCGTGCAATTAATACCATCAATGTACGAGTTATTGTCCGGGTAGTACATCTTCGTTTATTCATCATGTGCTTCAATTTGTTTTACGTATTTTTCACAGTATATGAAGAATATAAAATATTCGATATAACCTTACATTTTCATTTTCTACCACATGGTATAAATATGCTTACTCGGTGTAGTTGATTCTGTATACATGTTTCACAATTTGAACAGTGTAACGATTACTCGCGATCGAAGATTTTGTCGAACAATGAGAAAAGTAACAAACCTTTTTTATTATATAGCCATTCCAGAGGTTTGTAGAATCTGGCCGCGTTGCTTACGTGTGCGATGGGCCACATCAGGGCAAGCTCATTACAATTGTGGATGTTATTGACCAAAATCGGGTAACTATCTCAAATTGCCCATTAAAACTTTCTGTATATTCTTAATTGTTTATTTATTTTATGTAGAATAACACATAATAATGATGATCCAGATATCTTGATAGGAATTGCCGGCTGATATTTCATTGATGCTAATATCTTTTAACTGATGCCAAATTTTCTAACTTTAGTATTAAAGATATAATAAACATTGCGTTAAGATCTGATTACGTTTATAGGTTTTAGTCGATGGCCCGGCATCGAATGTACCACGCGGGGAGATGAGATTAAATCAACTTCACTTGACCAAGTTTCGAATACGTTTTCCATATACTGGATCCACTCGTGTTGTACGCAAAGCATGGGAAACAGCAAATATCAGTGAACTTTGGAAACAGACTATGTGGGCAAGGAAGGTTGAAGCTAAAAAGAAGGTGCATTTAATATTACATACGAAGCTCGTTACTTTCATTTCTCAAAGCATTTAATAATAATGAATAGTACATTTTTGCGTGACGATGAATAAGAAAAAAATGAATTTTATCAATTTCAGCGTATGGAACTCAGTGACTTTGATCGTTTTAAATTAAGGAAAGCAAGACAAATGAGAAATAAATTTAGGACAGACATATTCTACAGATTAAAAAAGAATGTTAAGAAAGCAAAAAAATCTGCTGGAGAAAAGAAAGCGGAAGAGAAGTAATCTTTTGTCATACAAAATAAATACAAATTTATAAGACTATGCTCGTGTTATATGTACCTTTAATCTTCGTTTACTTTACAAAAAAAAAAAAAAGTGGTAATTTACTATAAGGTATGGAAATCAACCGAACCAATTAGTGCATTATTTTTTATTTATCGTTGAAACAGTGCGATACATCAATTTTTACATAAAAAAAAATAAATGCAGCTTTAAAATAACGTTTATATAACTTTTACATGCATTTGTTAATTTTGTAATTAGTATATCATGAAATTATCAGAGAGTATCATTGTATATAATTGTACATATTGCAACAACATAAAAACATCCGAGAAGTTACCATAACACTTATTAAAAGCTATTAGAATTAAATCCGAATCTGAATAAGTATCAACATTGTAATCGTATATAATAGAAAGATACATATAACTGCTTTGGAATAATTATTTACTTAAAACAGTTAATCATTTTTATAGAGAATGTTGAATTATTTCTAAAGTAATGTCAAATTAATACGATTTAATTTTCGAAACCTAATTCCTTTAACTTGCGTATTTGTATTGGTTGCAAATTTATTAATTCTTTACAAAGATTTAATTCAACTTTAATTACGTCTGCAGCATCGGGATACTTCTCGCAATAATCGATTACAAATTTATATGCATTGTAACTATTTTGAATGCAGGTCAGTAGGGTCTGTCTTTTAGAACAATCATCTCTAACTAAAATTTTGGTGTACAATCTACCGATATGAATGTAAGCCATCAAAGCTGGTCGCAAGACATCATCGGGAAATTTTCGTATTTCTGAATCGGAAGTACGAATACCCAAGGAATCGATAAACGACTGAAAATTTTTTATAGAATTTTTTGCTAATCTATTAATTTTTTCCATTGACATTTGTGTTTGTTCTTCATTTAGTGAATGCAGGCGATCACTTTTTATATCGATAATGTGAGAATACGTTTCTCCTAATTCAATCCACATCTGCATACAAGCAGTTTTATAGTATCGAGGATTCAATTCTTTTATGACATTTTCTAAAACATTGATCCTTTTTTTGTGCATTTTTACCTGTCTATCTTCGTGCTCTTCAAAAAATGCTAAATATCTGTATGCCTCGGAAATGTCTTGTACAATTGATACATGATCAGAAGCATGATCTTCTAACGTATAATATAACTGTGCTTCTTTCAACCATTTTTGGACATTTAAAAAAGTTAATCTAGCGTCGTCAAAATCTAGTAAATATTTATCGGTAATTTGACGAGCAATTGGCTCTATTTTTTTTTCCAATATATCAAATTTCAAATCTTCTATTATTTTTGGCTTCGAGGAATCTTTATTATCCAAGTGACAGTTCTCTTGTTCTGTTTCAGTATCATCTAGAAGTCTCTGTTTCGATAAACTTAGAAGCGCAATTCCATATTTAGCCCAACATCTAGCAACATCCGCGCTTCTGTGTTTAAAATTTTCCATTTCTGCTTCACTTTCTTCGCTGCATCCATTATTCATAATCTTTGCATCTAATATGTTTTTGTATTGTTCTAATATATAAGATGCAGCGGCTAAATTATGTTTAGCTAGAGGGAAGTTGTTATTTACTATGAAGTATTGCGACAATGTAGCTGTATTTAATACCCATTCGATGTAATCTAGGTCTTCCGCAATGACATTATGACCCAATTGCCTGCGTAAAGTCAAATGACAATATATCGCTGACTTGTGGTGATCGTTCAGAGATTTGTACAACTGAGCTAAAAAGTATAGAGTTCGAGTATTCAGTTTTTCAAAAATTTCTTGAGGGCTTAGTTCAGTTTTAGGTTTCTTAATACCGAACAATGGTACTTTAACATAATATTTGCATACACCGCCAATGTTTGTAAAGTCATGATAGATCTGTTCTGCTTGTTCTAAAAAAGTTTTTACTTTTGTAGGTTGATTCCAATGATACCATATAACTCCTAACTGATTTAGGGCATCGACCACCAGTAAAACTGCTTCTGGGTCCAATTCTTTGTCTTTTAATACTTCCAGACATTTCATGAATTGTTCCTCCCCAGCTTTCAGTTCCTCCGTATCACTGTATAACAAACCAAGTTGTAAGTGTACGATTCCAAGGAGTATATCTTTCTTTTCATCTGACGTGTCTGTCTGAAAATCAACTTCATCTGTTTCCAATGTTTTTAGGATTTTTATTGCTTCGTATTTTATTTTATACGGTTCATTCTGTGTATTACACTTTTCATCAGATTCCAATAGTTTTTGAACGCAATTTAATTTTGCTTCAACAACCTCTTTGGTAAACACATCTGATTTTATATTACATTCCATATTAGTTGTTATCGTGTACTGTTATGTTCCTAGATTGTAGCAGCGATATCGAACGACTGAGGGGTAGGTAGACAATGTCTGTCAGAGGTCAGAGTTTGACAGTCAGTGTTACCAAATTGAACAATGAGTGCACTGGGTGCTAGGAGGCAGGAACTCCTCATTCCATTTTCGCACACTATGTCAAATAATGTGTACGTGAGCTTGAAGAGTTGAGAAATACAAACTGACACTCGCTCTCTTTTTCGATTCTTCGAAGCAACCTGAAGTGAGCGCGAATGCACTTCGAATAGTTCGAATCGAATCGTCCCGAGGAGGTCGAGAGAGTAGCCAAATGTGAGCCTATCCTTCTCGCTCTCGTACATCCTGACTTCGTATCAGCGGCATACAATTTTGATTAAAAGATTCGAAAAAATGTGCCAGCTTTCGATCATAGAAAGAATTAAATTCTAAAAGTTCATAATTTAATCACAGAACAAGAATGATTAGTAAATAATCAAGCTGTGAATTAATTAAACGAATTAGCGGGATAGTGTTGATCGTCGACCTCCTTATCCTATTCTATTCTGTGATCATGATACTTTTTAGTAGTTAGAATCACCGTTCATACGTGGCGCCAGGTATTTCGATATTTTTAGCTATCGCTTCCGGTAATCGTTTATAACTAATTAATTACATGAAATAATGTATAGAGAAATGGTTGAAGAACTTATTTAGATATTAATTAGATTCTAATGATATGTCCACGCACCCGTTTGGATTTTGGTCGTCCAAGCGGCAGGGGAGGTGAACCCCTACGTGGCGCGTCCCCAGGTGGCGGATAGGGGAAGCCGCTGAGATGTGATGCGGTGATGGGGTGATTAGCTCGAGAGAGTTTCTGGTCGTATCCTCGCATAGCATCCCGGAGGTCGGAGCGAAAGCTCCCGCGGACCAAACACTGGTACGAATGTTGTGTGAATAAGTGTGTGGTTGGACTGGGACGGTGGGACGTTTGTTAAGGGTTGGCCACTTGGCCGCTGGTAGACCCTGTGGCTGCAGATTAGTACCGCGGCCTGGCCACGGTTTGGTCCCATCATGGGAGTCCCATGTCCCGGGACCACGGGACCTAACCCAGTGGGAGGCCAGGCGGCTGAGGATAACCACCGTGGGGTTTTTAGCCGGTAAGAGTCCATCCAGCACTACCCGTGAGGGCCCGCGGGTGTCCATGATTCCATGATTTTAAAATTCATAAAAATTAAGAAATTAATGGGAAAGGTAGAGGAGAATATAAATAAAAAAACATGGAACATATGTACTGTAATTTTGATTTATTATTAATATAAATATATATTTCACAAATATCAATACTAAACGTATTTGTATACAAAATATAAGAAGTAATAAGTTATGTTAGGAAAAACTGTTTTTTTTAAAAGTTAATTTTCGTCATTTATACCCCGATACAATTCATAATATTGTATAAATTAGAAATATGTTACAATTTTACAGATTTGTTACAAAACTTAACATCTTAATAATTTGATTCTTTTTGTTATAGACTTAGAAATAAAAGCAAAAATAGGTGTAAAAGAAAAGTTATTAACACATCTCTAGATTAATTTGAAACATACAAGAGAAACTTAATTATTTTTTTACGAAAAACGTGGAAAAAATCGAGTACGTTTGTAAAGTTCTAATATGATACAATTTAATGAAACGTTAGCTCCATAATTAATACATGAAAAATAAAGCTTAACTTTTCAGTACACTTGTGATTGTAGTATAGCTTTTTGCAACAACATACAGAATGTTTCGGTAACTTCGTGACACAAAATATCTGCAGATTTATCTCCTAATGCCGCTTGAGCAGAATTAACTCTGCCAAGCTGTAACAATAATCCTGTAGTATCTTCGGCTAATGGTGGAAAAGCTAAACATATACGCGTTAAGGCTGGTAGTGCTGGCATAAATAAGATCACACGATCTTTAGCGGACAGAACTCCTAAAAGTGTGACAAGAGTATTAATTGCTAAACGTGAAACGCTTAAAGCCTTCGGTAGAGCGTATTGAATCGCAAGGTGCGAAGCCAAATCCACTGCGAATATTTGTTTTTCTGGTTCTGGTTGAGACAATAATTCAGGAATCCAGTCGAGGCAAATGTGCATAGATGGAATACCGGTAACGGTAATCGGTAACAATTCTCTTGGATAGCCCTGTGAACAAAAATAGTATTCATAAAGTATTCGTATTAATTATAGAACATACACGCATTCACGAAAGTATTTGCACGCTTATTAGATATTTTCGATTTTATAAATTGCGGTGAACGTACTTGAAAATGGACCAATTTGGCCAAAGATGGATCTGCTATAAACACTTGATGTAGAGATGAACAAATGATGCTTTGAATCTCTCTTAGCGACCACATTTGACCAGGAATTTCTCTATCTTCGTTTGTTTCTAAACACGCTTCTAATAATATTTGTACGGCTGCGCTCTCTTGACCTGCTACTAAAGCTGTTCTTAAATCTTCTCTTTCCGTTTCGCTCGACAGTTGACCAATTTTCTCCGTTAATGGTTTATCTTGTACATGCCTAGACAGCTGAGATCGGGAAGCTGCCAATGCAGCTTGCAAAATTCTGAAAACATTTATCAGAAAATGATAACTGACAGGATTGAGTATCTTTAATGAAACATTAAATACACTTAAAGTTTCAAAAGCTCACCTCAAAATGATGGATAAAATTGGAGCACATCTAAAGACTCTTGTATCGCATCGCAATACTTGTAATGGGTCTAATACAATGTTTTCTTGCGTTAAAAAGACATTTTTTACGACGGAATTTTCTATTAATAGTGCATTTATCGACAAAACCCATAAACATCTTGGTAACACCGTATTTAACCTAAGCCATACTTGTTTGTACAATTCTAAAAGATTAAATTAATACTTGTATTAAAATTTTTTCATAATAATACACTATATGTGTATATATAAAAACTAAAACATTTACCTTGAATATATCTAGGAACTTTGGAATTTAATGTTGCCTTAAAATAATAAATTATAACTTCAGCATGAGGCCATATATCAGTCGGTTTCATCGACATTAATTGTCTTAAAAGTCTTCCTGTTCTCGAAGGACATGTTTGAATATGGGAAAATGTTTCGATAATCATGATATCGGTAATTTTGACATTCTCGTAGTTTGCAATCGTAGAGTCTATATTAATCATCTCGTTATCGAGCCAATCGTCTACTAACGAAAGATGCGGAAAATGAGTTGCCAACAGTCTAAGAAGAGGGGAAAACAAGCCAGCATAATTCAATTGATCTCTTTGAACCAACTGAAGTAGATATTTAATTGGTAACTCCGATAGAAATTCGGTCGAGTACGATTTAACTTTTCTATCCTGCGATATGAATGCGTGCATGTTGGACAATCTGACATCCTCGTACAATAATAAATAATACAATAATAATAACTGGGACGTAAGAGAAGGTTTTTGAATATCGATATCCGTATTATCTATTTCGCATTGAGGAACGCTAATAGCATTTTTCTTAAAATCAAAATTTGCACCAAAAACGCTATTTTGAAATACCCTTCTAATTTCACCTTCTGTAATTGGTTTGTTCGTATGTTCGGACGTTTTATTATTGATTACTAAAATCGAATTTACGTATACTTCGACCAAAGCAGGGAGAACTGGATGCAGCGGTGGCACGCTATTACAAATCTGTTTGTAAATCCAATTTTTTATCGGTACTCGATGCTTTGCAAATGCTCGTGATTTCAATAACTGATGTATACAATGTACAGGTAAAAATCCTGGAATGTTTGCGTTTAAATTAGCCGTTACCGGCACCTTTACAGCATGAGAAGTGACCACTTGCTCGGTAAATATCTCTTGCATAAAAATTTGTTTCATTCTAGTTAGATTGTTCGGTCTAATTGGTATTTTCATACCTAAAGTTGCGCATACAAGTTCGCAGATTGCCGAGAGTTGATTACTATGAAAATGTATAGCCATTAACAGTAACATTTCCCCGAAACTTGCTGTTACACCACTAGCACTTTCAAAGTAAGCTTCTTCGCGAACGAGCCACTGCACCCATTCTATACTCCGCTTTTCAAGATTATGATGACCTATCAACGAAGAACACGCGATAAGCATACAAAGACCCAAAGAAACAAATCTTACACCAGCTGGAGATGGTGGAGGATGAGATGTCAACAACTGAACGATCATTGCTACTTCGTCGTCTTGAAATTTAATACCTCCGATACCTCTCAGTGCGCAATAAAGACGCAATAACGCACTAGCTTGAACCACTTGACATTCAGCTAATTGACCTGCATTTTGGGAAGTGATCGCTTGTAATCGTTTGAGCAGTTCCTCTCTTAATGATTGTAACGCCGTATGAGATTCCCATTTGCGTTTCTGTCCGTTCCTAATGAACATCGCGATCCATGTTCTTACTTGCTGATCGCTACCGAGCAATAATCCTGACACAAAAGCAACTATATCACTTTCTGATAATGCGTTAGTTATGTTTTCATGTTCCAGACTTAATGTAATCGCTAAAGCAGGCATTCTACAAAGTTCTACACACTTGGCTCTTACTGCCAATGCTTGACTTGGATTCATCTGGCATAACATTGTCAATGCCATTGTTCTAATCCTGCCTAACGTCGATTCCTCTTGTCTTTCTCCATTGGCGATTAAATGCGTGCATACTTCGCTAAAGCTGTCTGGAATATTAGCAACTATCCAGCAGATTATTTCTGGGCCTTGTTTAACGTGTAATAATGTTTCTGCTATATCTAATATCGATAATAATGTCGGTAATTCTGCGAGAGCGATGCAAATTACGTAACTAATTTCTTCCATATACACCGCATTATCGAATAAATCTGACTGTTTGATTTGGAATTCCTGATTCTTCTGTAGCTCTTGCACTTGACAGGCTATATATAATAATTCGCTTAGAACTAGCCTTATTCTTCTGGTAGACTCGCTACGTTCAAATTCTAAGGCAAGACCGCTTTGTAACGACTGAGCAAGTATACTATCTCGTTGCAAACTACCTAACTTTTGCCTAAAAAAAAGTCGATTATACATCTCTTGTAAATACAATTTAATATATATATATAATTATATATACTATTTAATTTACGGTTTCAACAACAATCATAAGCGCAGAGGCATTAATGTCACCCATGAAACTAACCTTAATTGTTGCTCCTTTCGAACATCAGTTTCTAACGCATGAAAATCAATCGAAAGCAGTGCAATTATTGAGTTTACTGATTCAATGCCAGATAAAATCGTCAAAACTTGTTTTCTTTCTTCCACGCAATCTTTCGTAATGTCTAGCGGAGAAATGAGGCTCATTCGTACCAAACACGGTAAAATTGGTCGTATTTCTTTATGAGAACATATTGATAGTTCCTGTATGTCTACATTTTGTATTGCAGTAAAAATTCGTGGCGTTACATACATACTTGATTGCATGGTTGTCAATTATTGTTTACTATTGCTTCCAATTAACCAAATACATATAAGGCGATACAAGAAAACAATTCATACCAAAGATTTCAAATAACTCCGAATTAATGTATTTCTATTCATATTTAATAGTAACAATATATATCTTGATGTATCAAACTTGAATTCATATATTTTGCGAATGTAATATATTTGGATTATTTGTTGCGTCCGCTATTTAAACCGGTGCTTTCTAAGTCACAGGTCACAGGTCACACTCACAGTCACAGTTAAGAATTGCAACGATACATCGTTGTTTGGAAATCGATACCATTCAAACCATCGATATTTTTTCGAAATTTTCTCATTTCAAAGAATGAACAAGAAGAAAGATTGTTGGCCAGAGAACAGCATAATATCTGACTTAAATCGATTATGTTAATTTTGGACATAAATAGAACGATAAACAATGATCCAATTGTTTAGATTATGCATTGATGCGAATGCTACATCATGATCTATATTATTCTGCCGTGTAGTAGTTATATTGTTAAATTTTTGAATAGGCAGTCAAACTAATAAATCGAAATTTGTCAATAATACGTGACAGTATTCGTAGCAACTTTCACATAAATTAACTATAGATGAGAAAGTTAGATTTGAATGAGAAAATTTGTAAAGAAAATATCGATACATTGCCATTCTTAGTAGTAGTATGTGTGTAACACAATATATTTTTTTCCCCACCGCTCCGCTAGGGGGCTATAGCAAATTCATTGTCGCTCTTCTTGTTTTCGATGCACTCAATTCTGTGCAATCTGGCTATATTGATATAAGATTGTAGAGTCTACATTATAGGCTTGGACTTTCTGATTGTGTTTGTGATTGTATTGAATAGTACAGTAGAAAAATACAAGTAGAATAAATATTGAATCGATACATTTAATTGTAATTAATTTGTTTTCTAATAAAGGAAACAGTTCCAAAAGGTTATGAAACGAAGTTGATGTAAATACAAAGTGTAGAACATTTATAAAAATGTTTTTATTATAACTATTAAAAATAAATAGTTGACAATAAAATGAATTTATTAGTTACTTAAATATATAAAATAAAAAATATAAATAAAAGCAGTGTACAAGTAAAAATTACAAAACACTCAAAATGGTAATGAAAATTAATAACTGTATCTTGATGAAAAATTCTGTTCTAAATGAAAAATTAATGAACGATGACTTTTAGCATGGCAAAGTAAAAGTTCGAACAAGCGCAGAGCAAGAGGCATTGAAAAAGAAAGAGAGGGCTAAAAAACTTATACAGTATAAATTTAACATGAATATGGTGTTTGAAAAAGTAATTTTTTTTTTTATATCATTTAACATACGTATTTGTATTAAATTCTTTAGCACTGTGAGCTTGTATAAATAAATATATTAATTAGAGACTAAGCGGAAAACAAAAATTCAAACTAGGAAAGCGATACAAATGAAATATGAATATCAAAATAAGTCGATTAAACAGGTTGACAGTATGTATAAAGTCAAGATTTTGCTTTAAACGTTACAGAGGAAAGATCAAATTTATGACGACCAGTTAATGAAAATTACCGAGTGTTTGCTACTAGAGCAACCAGATATTTATACATTATGGAACATTCGCAGAGAAGCATATACGAATAATCAATGGTAATAATATATTATCGATAACCTTTATTATTAATTAAAATATTTAAAATTTAATTAACTTCTTTATTCGTTGTGCTGAAAAAATTTTTAACAAAGAACATCTTTTATTAATTAAAATATGATGAAATAGGAGCGAAGAAGTTTTAAAAGAATTTCATCGTCATGAATTAATACTTACTGAAAACTGTCTGAAACAAAATCCTAAATCATATTCTGCATGGCACCAAAGAATGTGGATTATGGATCATATGGATGAACCCGACTGGAAAAAAGAATTAATGTTGTGCACTAAGTATTTGCATTTTGACGAAAGAAACTGTAAGTTATTAATATAAATACTGATTTTAGTTTTAACGTCAAATGTATCATTTTTCTCTTTTGTATGATATTTAAGTTCATTGCTGGAATCATAGAGAATTTGTTGTGCAAAAGGCAGGAATTTCTCCCGAAGAGGAATTAAAATTTTCTACCTCAAAGATTCTAAATAATTTTTCCAATTATTCTTCTTGGCACTACAGAAGTCAACTTTTATCGAAAATATTTAATAATTGCAACCAACAGGACATTGATAAGAAAAAAGAAGATGGTAATGTTTTTGTCACATACTAATTATTGTATAAATATGTGAGATTTATTTTAAATCTATTTTCTAACGTATAATAAGAAAATTGTATTGGTTTTCTTTTTCTTTTTGTAGAATTGGATTTGGTAATGAACGCTACATTTACAGATCCTAATGATACTAGCGCCTGGTTTTATCAAAGATGGTTATTAAGTACTCATGAATTTTCTCCTACTCTTTCACGAGTTTTATTAAAAGATAATAATGTAATTCTGTTCGTTGATAAAAATATATCGATAGAATCAATATGTTTGCAAATAAACAATGAAAATGAAAATGTTCTGTGGAAATCTTGGCAAAATACAAAATTTTCTAAATTGTGGTTTGGAGAATTTAAAACGCAATTTAATGACATAAAGGAAATCACGATTGATATCGAAGGACAGCGTTACCCTTTATATTATTCTAATCAAAAGTGGATTTATAAAAAGAAGAAATTTAAACCTCATTGTAACGAAGACCAATTATTGGGACAGTTATTGAATTATAAGCAACTTGCGGAATTAGAACCTGATAATAAATGGGCTCTTCTTACCGGTGTACATTTAATGAGAAAAATCGACTTTGAAAGATTTAATAATGACATTTTCACAAGTTTGAATGCTCTTCTCAATATCGATTCTCTTCGGATTAATTATTACAGAGATTTACGTAAGTATATTTTATTTACCACCTTGCACCTTGCAATTATAATTCTTGTTTTCATTGTCATGACTCCAGTAATGTTTCATTATTTTGGTTAACTAAACGATTGATATTTTTTTTTTAGAAAGTAAATATGTAATAGAATATAAATTGTATGAATCATGGAGCACAGAAGAAGATGAGGAAATAAAGTCAAAAATTGATCTTTCTGGGTTAAATTTAACAACATTGAGTAATAACGAACACCTTAGTTTTTTCGAAGAAGTAAATCTCGGAGCAAACTTCCTGTCAAACTCCTTGCATGAGTTACATTTTCTACAAAATTGTAAAAAATTATCGTTGTCGAGTAACCAGCTGGAAAGTTTGAAAAAATTTCCGACGTTACAAAATCTTGAGGTTTTATCGTTGAGAAATAATAAACTAGAAAATTTTGATGAAATATTACAATTACTGAAGAAACATAAGTTAAAGTTCCTCGATTTAAGAGAAAATCGCGTTCATAATATTACAGAATTGCAGAGCTCTGTTATGGATATTGATCCGAATTTAAAGTTATACTTGGAATAATTTTAATGATACATGTATTGATGCAAACGTATTGCTATAAATACATGATAAAATATACACTTAACGGTCTGGTTACAGGTGGTATGAAAATCCTGCATCGTTTATTTACTATTATACAATGATCTCGTTTAGGCCTATGTACTATTAGCTTTGGAATCCAAAGTTGTTATATATATATATATATTTAATGCTTTGAAAATACAAAGAAATATAAATTGTAATAAATGTTCATGTAATGCAACTAATACAAAAATTATACATGAATAAACGAGACAACAACAAAATTTTACTCGTTGAGATTCATTCATTTTATGTATATAAAAAATATGGTGTGTTGAATCAATCGTTTCACTGTGATGATATTCTTGCATCAATAATTTAAAAATATATATTTAGAAAACGGCATGTCATCTGTTGGCTTACTTTTGCATCCGCGATAATTATACCTGATAATTCTTTGCGGTAACATTCCGTTCTATGAACACCATGATTAAAACTGTTCAGAGTTCTGTGCCCGCTAATCATTACACCCAATAGAACAAAACCCGCAAAGCACTTGGCGAGCCCTATTGGTCAATTCGTGCACATGCGTATATCGATTTTGTTCCCTAAAAACGGCGAAGTATCGCCTCTGGTTGTTACACTTGTCACTCTGTTTGTAAACTTCAAAAAATTTGTTGCGTTAATTTGAAAGAATGTTTGTCGAGTAACGTTACATTTAAAAAATTGTGAAACGTGAACGTTATTTTATCGAAAACCTGAAATGAATTTATTTATAGTATCGACTATAAGTTGTCTTTTAGAATATATTGTTCCAATTTTAATAAAATATGTAAGCATTGCAATATTAATGCTTTATAGTAAAAGTAGCATTATTTAAAATTACCATTTTCATTGTAGATTACATCACGTGTATATACAGAATCGAAACATGTTGCGGAATTACGAGACGAAGTGGTTAACCTAAAGCAAGAAATGAGTGGGATAATCCTAAATGAAGAATTTTCAAAATATGCTAAACTTCAACGTAAATGTAATAAATTAATTTGCATTTTCAAAGAAACAGGTAAAACAAATACATAGTACATAGAAATATATTTTCGTCCATACGATTATAAACAAATATTCTTACTAAGAAACATGACTGTACGTTTTATATTTAATGGAACTTTTAGATTAATTTGTGAAGTTTTTTATAGACATACTATAAGCTGATCATATATTTGTCTCTTTTGAAGTAAATAGGATCTGTTAAAGTAATCTATCACTGTGTAATATTTACTTTTTAGTAAACGAGCGATTGTCCTCCAGAGGGAAGATACAACAATTTGCAATATATGGTTTTCATATAGTAAATGTAGGTATCTTTCTCATTCATTCTTTAAATAACAATAATATACAATAATACGGTAATTATACATTTTTTCAGGCTTTATTTATGTTGATTTTGTTTTACCTTTACAAAAATAAACCAGTAATAATCTTTCCAAAAGGTATGTTATGGCCTGTACAAAATTTCTTAAGTTGGCCAGGTTATCATGAAGATTCAATTTCTTTAATTATGTGGGTTGTAATATCTAGAGTAGTTGTATCTTCGTTTAAAAAAATTGATATAAAAGAATTTTAATAACTAAAACTAAAATGTATAAAAACAACAAAGTAAAATTTCTTTAAAAGGTTTCCAGAGTATGAAAATTCGATGCAAGTTGGTTTCCAACTATTATTGGATGAATAAAAACAATTTAAAAAATGTACATTAAATTATTTTTCCTCTGGGAAAAATTTTAATGGGAGATCCTAGAGACATCTTGTAATACCTCATTATTTTATATAATTTTTTATAAGGATAACAATAAATTTGAGGGGATATAATAGCAAAAAAGTGACTGTATTTAGTAAAAGCTTGAGTAAAGTACATAATACATAATAGTGAAATATATATCTGCATATAATTATTGATAAGTAATAATAATAATTTTGTTTTAACAAAATCTTTTTATATATGACAATTGATACATCTATATTTTTCTATATAATGTAGCAAACAATGTTTTATCCACACGTAGAGTATTCATAAAACATCTATTTTATAAAGCTGGAAAGAAATTGATAATTTTGTTTGTTAATTTAATTAGTTTAGATAAATATTCACCTTACCCTTTAATTTAGCTTTTCAGTTACATCATTTTGCCTTTTCGTTAATGGCTTTATAATTTTATATTGCGACACGTATGATACCCAAATATTACATGTATAAATTGTATTATAGGAAGTTCTATGATACAAAAAATAAATTAATATTGTTTAAAATGAAAAAACTGACCTGTTGGATATTGAACAAATGTTGTCGATAACATAGTTTTAACGAGAAATTGGAAAATGTTATGATTTTAATAATTTAAAGCACTAATTTTGAATAATAATGTTCAAATTATTATAAAAATAGAGCACAAAATTGTTACGATTTATTTTATCACATGCATATAAATATCGATCGAACATATGTTATACATGACATATGTTACAAAACAACAGATAAAACTATGACTGAAAAGCAAAATATAATAATTAAACTTTTTAAATGAAATATTGTCAAGAATCAGTAAGATAGACTTCCTTTTAAAATTAAACTAGCACTGTACACATTATATAGTGACATGCTTTTAATACACCAAATTAAATAGATATTGCTTACGAACCGAAGTTATATAGTTGACACTTATAACATTGTTAATATAATAACGTCACGATCTTTGAATTGTTTGAAAATAAGAAAATTAACGTTACAAATATTAATAATGCAATTATCTTTCTAAATGTTCAGTACACTAGTATATAAATGCAACAATGTCATGTTTATGTTAACTTGAATGTTATTAATGTTGAACTTAAACGTAACATACAAATGTTTATATGTAAAGTAGTCAAGTTATGTGATTGTATACAAAATATTAAACCAATAACATTAAAAATATTGATAACAATTTGAAAATGATTGATAACATTAGATATTCTAAAATTTTGTAATAGCATTTTTCTCATTTTTTTTTTCTTTTTTTATAGTTATATCGTGTTTTAAATATTTTCCCGCTCTTCTAGTTTCGTTAAAAATATTACTTATAAAACTACAATAAGCCAACTCATAGAAAACTGTACTATTATTGTTTATATTATGCCATGCAGTAACGTTGCAAAGATTAATATTAAAATGAAAAGAATATTGAAATTCAAGTAAGTTACATAGTAACTATAGAAATACTTTTAAAAAATACTTAAATTAGAAAATATATTTTTTTCACACTATAGCGAACGTCAAAAAGAGAATGCACTAGTTTATAACACGCGATAATGAAACGTAAAAAGAAATTAGAAGAACGAGCGTATTAACATCTCTTACTTCCAGCAATTTTTATATCATTAGGCTATTTTTAAGCAGATCAGAATTTTATAAATGGTTATTTCATTTTTATTGTTAATAGTTTTTTGCATAATGTTACTATCAAAAACATCTAAGCAACTTGATACAAAGTAAAATCGTATTTATAGTATAGTCATTTTTAGGAATATTTTTTTTTTTTTATTATTAATGTTTATGCACTGTACTACGAATGCGAAGCAATTCAAATGTTAGAAAAATCAAGATTTTCCTTAAAAATAATTCTCATGTATGTTATACAATCACATAGTACAAATGCATCAACCAAAGAAGTACTTTATATATGAATACATGACGAAATATTTGTTATTAAAGAAATTCAACTGACTTATGTTTTAGCAATATCCATTGGTGATCCGCCAGTTGCATTTGTAGCCGTGTTAGCGATTGGTGGACCACCTGGACTTACGATAGTCGGTGGGATTGCAGGTTTGACAAATCTGTCTGATGTGCGTCTATTGGATGGTGTTACCACATGACCCTGCTTAGATATCATAAAATATTAAAAGAAAAAAAATGTTGCACTTAAAATATATTTTACAAAAATGAAGTTTCTAAATACAGTATGCAGCTAAAATCGTTAGAAACTTTGGATACAAGTATGCAATATCCTTGAAGAAAGAAAGAAAGAAATTCGAAGGCACTAATAAAGGCTAATAGCATACGTTCGAATCTTATTTAAAATAAACGGTTCATATTTGGGAATTTTTTGAACAATCGTAACTGCAAAGACCTAGGTCGCGAAAAAGCTTTTAACACATAAAATAGTTACGTAACATTTCGAATACTATAACTTAAAACTTGCAATTGCAACAAAACGCAACTTACCGTGGAAGGAGGTGATGAACTTGCAAATGGAATTGCAGTAGGCTGGCCACAAGCATAACATCGATTTGTATTAAATCCCTCTCTGGTCGATGAACCTATAAGCGAACAATATTTTTAATACCTAACAATTACGCGCTTGCAAATAACAAACAATGTATAAAGAAGAGAAACAAATAATAATAACTATTGTTACAATAATTACCTGGACTTAGTGGTCTAGAGGAACTAGGCGAAGGATTGTACGGCACGGGGCTGGAAACAGTACGATTTCTTATATTTCCACCCGACATCACAATTTCATTATAGTGCCGTTCTTCTTCCATTTCCAAACTAATAAGTAGATAAAATTTGAAATCAAACTGAAATAGTTTCATACTTCACATACTACGATTATTTACCTCGATTCTGATTCCGAAAGATGTCTGCATAAAGCTTCACGACGTTCTACTTCCAATTGTAATTTTCTTTGTAGTCTCAAATTTTCTTCGCGGATTTGTTTCTCTTCGTTCACGTATCGTTGCATCTTCTCCGTGTCTAATGTAAATAATACATACATATAATTAAAGAATTTTACAGGTTTCCAATTAATTTAGAAACAAAAAATCTGTCATAATTAAAATAGCTTTTTTTTTTTTATCATGAGTAAATTTTTCGTTTGATAAACAATTAATACTTGGCGAACACTTTTTACATTCACGTTAACGTAGAGAAATAATTCTTACGCTCTTGTTGAGAGATGAGTAACGTATGTCTTAGTCTGGCTACTTCGCTTCTTAAAGTTTGAATATGCGTACTGAGACTAGTAGCAGTATCACCATTATTAATTTCTCTTGGCGAGGTCGGATCTGACACGGGTTGATCCAATTTTATCTGAAGCATTCTTTTCTCTGCCTCTAACTTGTCCATTCGTTTCCATAATTTATTTACTAATGCTTCTTGTTCTTGCTCGAGCGTATTTTCAAGTTCAACTTTTTCTCTACGGAGTTGTTCTAAATTACTTTGCTTTGCAAGAGTCTCAGCCTCGAGTTTCTCGATCTTCCTCATTAATTTGTTAACGAGACATTCTTGTTCTTGTTCTAAAGTTTGCTCCAGGCGACATTTCTCTTGACGTAATTGATTCAATTTTCTCGACAGATCGTTTGTTAAACATTCCTCTTCTTGCTCATAGTGATGCGCTAATGTTTCTTTCTCTTTCTTAAGTGCTTGGATTTTCTTCAGTAGTGTATTACTTATAAATTCTTCTTCTTGCTCGGCTTTAGCTTGCTACAATACGACATAATCGCAATATGTAAAATATTATTTGTTTGTATTATTATTAATTCTTGAACAACTTTGTAAAAATTGTTTGTTGAAATTGTAGAAATTTGATGCAATATTTAGATGTAATGAAAATTATTTTAAAAAAAGTAACATTAAAATAAACAACTAATTTGTTTTTATGATATAAACTACATTAATTACTTAACAATTTGAAATTAATATACTGGAAAGAATATTTAAAACAATGTACAATATATGTATATTGTACATATATAATCTTTCTGTTTATTAAAAATCGAATTATTATAGTACTCTCTGAATAGCCATTTTCAAATTACTTTGTACCTGAAATTAAGGATTACTATGCAGGAAAGAAAATTGTTTTGTTTAAATAATATAGTTGACATTAACAGAAATGTTCAAGTAATGTTCTATCCTCAAACATTACCTTGATATTTTTACTCATGGATCAAGATATTATTGCTACATTTAAATAAACAAATTCAAAGTTACAAAGTAAATTTCTGTATTTTAAATTGACATGCCTATTATGCAAAAATCTACAGAAAAAGGAAAATAAAAGCCACTGAAAAATCATTGACTCAAATAGTTTCATAAATGACCAGCATTCTCTAAAATCTTAAAAATTCGATTTTAACATTAAAATCATCTGCAAAGAAGGGTCTGATTAGAGTTAAAACTGCGTTCGGACATATACGTGTCGTAAATTTTTCAACTATAATAAAAAAAAATCGAATGAAACATTCATAGCAAAAGCGAATCGTTTTTACACCGAATAATGTTCTTTTTTGTAAATATTTCGCATAAAAAGATATATATATATATATATATATATATATATACGAGAACTTAATACATTTAGGTTTTATGGGCTTGATAAAACTGTACAAGCAACTTACTATAATGACAGAGGCTTGACGAAGACTACGATTATCTTCTTGCAAAGCCTTTACTCTCAATTTGTACGTTTCTAGCTCAACTTTAAGGACTCGATTGTGTTGTTGCAACGATTCGATTCTTTTCTGAAGTTGTTCCCTGTTTACAGGAGACGGTGGCATCATTATTGGTCCTCCGTCGATCGAGCTCGAGTCGCTTTCAGATGCGCTATCACGGTCAGCCATTTTTCTTAGACAAGAATTTCTTTAGACAAAACTTGTTATTCTTTCTTGTTCATTGCACGTTCAAGTAAAATTGTGCGGTATAATTTCTTCCCGTTGTGCGAGTACGTGCTTCTTTATTAAAACTTCATTACTTCGTAAGAAAAAGTCGTAATATCACATCAAACTGCCGCACATGTGCTCTACCAGAGAAGGAATCAGCTGTTTGATTGTCCATGAGTTACTCGTAAAGGAGACGTCAAACTGATTTCTGCACTGTAATTCCCTAGAGTTCAGATGACCTCTGTTACAAGTAGCTAAAAGTTACAATAAGTCACAATAATTTTACTCCAAAGAGAAAGTCACCAGCGTCGGCAAAACTTTTTCCTTTTGATACAAGCAAATTAGTCTGGACCAGTGATGCCAGAAAACCACCGTCGGGTGCACACTCGCTCATGCTAGATACGCGTACGTGAGCTCGTGGAGTTTCGGAAAGACGACAAAGGCAAACTGACGCATGCCCTCTTTCTCGATTCTCCGAAGCTGCCCGAAGTAATTTCGGACCGCTTCGTGGGAGTCGAGAGAGAAAGGCTCACATTTGCCTTCTCGCTCCCACACAACTGAAATCCGATCTCCCGTCAACGGCATACGATTTGGATTCTCGACTGCCCAGGCATTTTTACTTTCCGACCTACTTATGTAGGCGCACATAAGCAAAGTACCCATAATGAAAAAAAAATTTTGTAAAATTTATTTTACGGAAATACACGTTTTAAGACCTCCTGATCATATTTTAATTATTGAAAAAAAAGAAATTTTTTTTAATTCCCATGTATGAGCACACATATGTATATTATAAATACGATTCTTGAAAATAAATAAAGTAAAAGTTATCTCATTGAAATTTTTTCTAGAATTAGTACCTAGAAAAAAGTATTAGACAACATTTGATTTTGATTTAGATTAAAAATCAAATTTATATTGTTTTAAATTCGCAGCCATTAGCTCGGTGTTACCCATAATGAAGAAGTTTTTCTTCAAAGGTAACACCGATTACCAGGTCTCACCACGAGGAGGTTGCTGCGAGTGGAGACCCAAAGTGAGACCGATGGAACAAAGTTCGATCAATCTTCCTTTTTACAGACTTAGAACTAACGCATGACGCAAAAAAAAAGATGCCAAGTAATTACTTTTCTAAAACAAAGGAGGAAGCTAAATTGTGGTAGACGCGACACGACGAAACGCGACACAATACTGCGCAGTGCAGTAGGAACATGAGGTGCGACACGTACCGAATAGCGGGTCAAAAGGGGCAGCTCGTTACCTCTTAGCAAGTCCAATTGAAGGGGAGGAGAATCGACGCACCAGACACGGGTTCCCCATTTCTCCAACGCGTCCTGCTGGGAGCCCGTAGGACCCAACCCGGGACGTCTGACAAAGGAGAGAGATCCTGAGTCGGGGCTACCGCAGACAGGAACAGGTCCCCTCTACGGCCGATGACTCTTTCCCTAGAATTGTCTCACCAGAGGACGGCAACCGACCCTTCGAACCATCTAAACGGCCGATCACTTGCTTTCTACATTAAAGCAGCGGTGACCGGAGCTGGAAACGGGGGAACGAGACTGGAAAAGAAGCTGTTAATTAATTAATTACTTGGCAATCTACGCATTAAATAAACTAATATACAATATAAACAGAAAATTAACGTCGTAGGTGGAATTAATGAGATTAAAATGGGAATTGAGAAACATAGGAAAGGAAAAAAAGAAATATTCGACGTTAATTTTACCATTCGCGCCGCGCCGCGCCTTAAATTTAACGGTAATACGCATGAATCTTGCATCCGTCGTCCTCTATCTAAAAATTGATCTGAATAAAAACTAAAATAAAAATTAGTAGTTATAGACACAAATTAGAATTAATTATGTGAACAAATATAGGGACAAATATAAATATAGGGACAAATACAAATATACAACCAAGAACAGGATAATTAAAAAAATAACAACCCCACGATGAAAGACAATGAGGAACAAAATAATTTGAAAAATCACAACCCAACGAAGCAAAGAATGAAGAAGAAAATAATTCGAAAAATAACAACCCATCGATGTCGAAAATAAAGAACAGAATAATTGGAAAAATATCTACCCAACGATGTAATATATGTAGATAAAAGCTGAAAGAAAAAACAATTGAATGAATTATTGGAGAGAGGAACACAACAACGAAATATTACATCCCTATATATAAATAGAAAACACAATAATGGTATTAATTATATGAATATAAATATATGTATGTATATACCAATCGGCGACACCAATCGGTGATCCTTCCTAGTCAGCATCGCAGAATCAGAGAATCTGAAACAGAAAGAAAAACGCGTGACAGTACCCCCGGCGGTTCCAGGAGTACTGAAAAGAGTCGGTCAGTTGTGCCCGCTTTTATGCAGTCAAGCCAAAGAATCAACGAGCCAATCAGCAGCCAGTCAGCAGTCTTCCGGCTTCAAGAAGTTCTATAAAAACCGTGCCCCCTGGCGGGCCCGCGGCAGATATCCCTCAACCACCAAGCAAGACGGACCGTATCGAGATGAAGAATTTAATCGAAGATTTCCATTCAATCAAAATCGAAGATGGCGGCCAAGAAGATGGTTCACGAGCAGCGGCCAAGGGACAAACCGGTCTTTTTAAAGACCAAGAAAATCTCATATTTGGGAACAACACCAAAACTGAACACCAAAACTGAACACCAAAACTGAACACCAAAACTGAACACCAAAACTGAACAAGTTTTATATTTAACAACTCAGAGACACTTTACATCTCTGTTTTGTAACAAGTTTTATATTTAACAATTCAGAGGCACTTTACATATCTGTTTTGTAACAACTTTTATATTTAACAACTCAGAGACACTTTACATCTCTGTTTTGTAACAACTTTTATATTTAACAATACACAGACACTTTACATCTCTGTTTTGTAACAACTTTTATATTTAACAACTCAGAGACACTTTACATCTCTGTTTTCTAACCACTTTTATATTTAACAACTCAGAGACACTTTACATCTCTGTTATGGCACAAGTTATGCAATAAAACTGAACATGGTATATTTGCCTATATGTATAGGAAGGAAATTCGTCGTTAGTATTGTCGCCCGTCAATGCACTTAATTATGCAAGATCAGTATACTATCTAATTTTATTTTTTATTATAACGGTTTGTAATATCGTAAAGATCAATGCAAAAACATTATGCACAGCTCTTGTATTTCTTTGATTTATCCAAGTAGTCAAAGTATAATATTTAACAAACTTTTGATTCAAATAAAACAACGAATGACACAAAATTTGTGAAAGTACCTGTTACATGCAACCTATGTATAAATGCATAATAACTAATATTGATATACGCATAACGAACTTAGTTTGTGATATGAAACATTAAGAAAAGTGTAAAGTAATAAATAGGTTTCAAAATGGGTATTCCAGGTTTAACAACTTTCATAAACAATCGTTCAGATCGTTATTTGGAATATTTCGAGCTACGTGATACGTATTTAGTTATTTAGCTGTCAAATATATAATTCGTACAAGTGCAATTGTGTTTTTGTCGGTGATTACGATAAATACGCTCAACGAGTATCGGATTTTTTTGACGATTTGTTAAAATTATTCGAAGCTGTTAATGCTATAGCTACTGTAGCAAGGATATTGAATTGTCCTCTATTGAGTTATGATTCAGATTTTTATGTGTTTGAGACATTGCACATACCATTTGATACATTGGACAATTACACGGTGAAAAGTTCAACTGGAAATGGTTACACGAAACGTTGTAAAATTTATAAAGTTGAACACTTATTAAATTCTTATAGAGGTTTAAGTCAATCTACACTGCCATTAGCTGCAATATTACTAGGCAATGATTATGTAAAACGTGGTACATTTAGAAACCTCTTTCGTTATTTAAAGTTACGACGAATAACAAGAAAAAGGTATAGTAATCGACAGTATTGTATAGAAGCAACTTTACAATGGTTGAGCGGATTTTACACCTTGGACAGAGCAGTCATTGGAATACTATGTAGATCACCTAAAACCGTAAGACAATAAATATTAAGCATAATAGAAATTAATATAAATGGCTATACAAATGCATCTACAGAAATACTTGTTTACTTCCATTGGGGTTTTTACAGGAATATGCAGCTCGTGCCACAACACATTCCATAAACAGAATTTTTTAATTTGATGGAGATGTTAATAGTCTAATGTACATAGAAGAAACTGATAAAAATGGAGATTTTGAATCATCCGAAGAAGAAGAAAAAGAGGAAGAAAACGAAGTTGAAATATTAGACATGCTTAAAGGGGTCAGAATCTACTACCAATAATGCACTACTAGCTAATGTACCTAATTTGTTTGTAGATGAATTTCTTATGGGCAATTATCCTGCATATATTATGGACTTGTTGGTTCGACGTTTATATATTTGTTCTGTACAAATAGAGGATTATTCCTATCCATTGAGCAATGTAATAAGTTTAAAAATTATTAGAGTTATATATGCATTTCTGCAATCAGGAACGAATAGATGGAGAGGTTTTATGAAATACATGATGAGAGACTGTAATAAAAAGCTTAAATGTTACGAACCAGAAGGCACTGACACTAAATTTTCTTCCCCATTACTGTCCCTATCTAATCTTAGAGAAGTACCATTAACGAGTCCAGGATTAAAAAATAATGTACAAACATGCGTCATTGATTTTTCATTACCATTTGAATTTAAATTCAAGTTATATAGACACAAATATATAAGCAAAGCCCATATTGAATGAAAAATTGACGCGTAAATACACGTTTCAAGACCCCCTGATCATGTTTGACATAAAACAATACTTTGGAAATAAATCGTTTGAATATAGTTTATCAAGTAAGACTTTCGAAATTATTTTCAAACGATTTATTTTCTAATTGTTCTACTATTTCAAATAATAATTTTTTGATCTTATAGCAAAGAACGTTTACTTAATATCAATTCAATAAATTCAATTTGTATTTGTATATTTTTCGCCTATATAGGCAAAAATATACCATGTTCAGTTTTATTACATAAGTTGTTCCAAAACAGAGATGTAAAAAGTCTCTGAGTTGTTAAATAGAAAAGTTGTACCAAAACAGAGATGTAAAAAGTCTCTGAGTTGTTAAATAGAAAAGTTGTTCAGTTTAGTGGTTCCCACAAATGAGATTTTCTTGGTCTTTAAAAAGACCGGTTTTGTCCTTTGGCCGCTGCTCGTGAACAATCATCTTTGGCCATCTTCGATTTTGATTGAATGGAAATCTTCAATTAAATTCTTCATCTCGATACGGTCCGTCTTGCTTGGTGGTT